GGCACTGCTGCACCCTGGACGCCCGCCTCCGGTTGCCGCCGGGCGGGCCTACCCCCCAGCTGCCGCCCCGCCGCCGCTGGGCCCCTCCCCCGGCGCCGCCCCCCGCCGCCGCCTGGCCCCGCTCTGAGCGGGCCCAGCTTCCTCCTCCCTCCCGCCGCCGCCGGGCGTTCCTCCTTCCCCCTCGTGCATCGCGGCTTCATTCGCGTTCGCATGCCCCACCAATACCCTATCCGCCAGCTCCGTCCCTCTGCCTAGCCGCCGACGCGAAAAAGTGTGTGTGTGTGTGTGTGCACACATCGTGTGCTTGGCCTCGCGGCTGGGCAGTGCCGTCTGCGTGGGGTGCACCTGACCTATAGGTCAGGGGGACTCCGCGCCCACACTCTTGTCGGCGAGCATTATTGGCGGCGCCTGCGGGTGGAGAAGGCAACGAGGTCGTGCCTGGTGGAGGCACGCAGCTACCGATCCGATCCCGTGGCAAGTTCCTGACCACGTTTAGGGAAACGAACTGATCATTTTCTTACTTATTTTTTAGCCCGTCGGCGCTGGCCCTCGCACCCCGTCCCCCCCCTATGGAGTAGATCTTGGCTGTGTTGGGCGCCTGTTTCGGGCAGGTGGAGTCTCCCCCACAGGACGCACTGCTGCAAACAGTCGCGCTAAGCAGAGGTCCGGAGCCAGACCCCCCCCTCGCCCCCCCTCTTGCCCAATGTCAAAGCGCCGAATAAGGAAACGCTCAACAATGACATCAGCACAAGCATTCGCATGTCCGCGCGGATTTTTCGGATCCGCGCGGACCTCTGAGTTTTTTTTTTATGTTGATGACAATTTTCGTTCTCCTAGTGTTGGTCGCCATGGGGCTGCTGGAATACCTGTTGCTGAAGCAGCGGCCGGGGTGGCAGCACACGTGTTCGTCGCAGATGTCGTTGCCGTAGTAGCGCTTGTGGTGGTAGCCGACATGGACATCGCTGTAGTCGCGGTTGTTGTGGTCGACGGTGTGGTCGTCGCTGTTGTTGTACCGGCTGGGGTCGACGGCGTAGTCGTCGTTGTTGTCGTACTAGCAAGGGTGAACCGCTGTGGGCGAGTTGCATGCGCCGCGCACAGGCGTGCGCCAGCGCCTGGTGCAAGTGTGGCTGCTGGGTGTGGCCGTGCACAGGCAGTGCATTGGCGTAGTGGCAAGACATGGTGGGCCGCCGCGGCAGCGCACGCTGGCAGCCTGGCCTCTGGGCGCCAGCACGCCTGCGGCGGCAGAGCGCCAGTGTGTGCGTGCCATTCCCGCACGGCGCGGGCGCGCGCACGTCTTAGCGTTGCGAGCTCAAGGACGTCGCGCACGTCACGAGGCGCTTGGAGGACACCATCTTAGCGACTGCCACGCAGATAATGCAGCTTCATGCAAGTCTCGAGTTGCCGCTCGCGGACGCGGACGTCCGGCGAGCCTGAAGAAGCTGAAAGCCAGCTCCGTGGTGCAGTTCGCCAGGAGGTGCCGTCCCTGGGACTTCACGCCGCCCGAGTCGCACATGCAGGCGGCGATGCATCTTGGTACTGCTGCCGACGAGGACCCCTCGTGGAGGATGGGCCTCGTCACGGACATCATCGTTGAGCTGGAGCCGGAGATCTCCGAGTTCGCTGAGGATGGGTATGGCACGCCAGTGCAGCTCCAATGCGTGGCAGTGCTTGGCCTGGGAGGTCTCCTCGTCGCTCCCGCGTCAGCCCCTGGAGTGGGCACTTACTCGCCGACAGTCTGGCGGTGTAGCCGCCCATCGGGAGCCGTGAGCGGGGCGTGGCGCCCCGTTGCCCAGCGTTCGCCAGCACGGTGCCTGTGCCACATCGCACGGACGGGTGCACGCGAGCGTGTCGACGCGCGCAGCGGCTTCTGTCCCAGGGCACCGCCGGCGAGGTCACGCCCAGAGTCGCTCAACATGTGGCATTGGCCACCAAGCTCACCATCATCAGCCCGACAGCGCCACGCAGAACGACACGGCCTCTGTTGCTGCACGCGAGTTCGCTTCTTGGGCAAGGACAGCTGGTCGAACCAGCTCCACCGTGCGGCTGCCAGCAGCACGGACCGCACGGACCCCGCCGCGCCTGCAACGGATCGTGGCCCCACCTGGCCCAGAATCTCTTCCTGAACGCGCTGTGCAGCATGAGAGCACGTGCGTCTTGACAGCCACTCACCACCCACCAAACCACCCCAACCCAACCCGAAGGCTCAGATTTACCCTCGATTTCCAGTGGGGGGGGGCGGGAAACATAGAAAAAACACATGTGGAACCCTTACCCCCCCCAACCCGAAATTCGAGTCTTCGGGTTGGGTTGGGGTGGTCTGGTAGGTAGTCAGCCACCGCCACATGCCGATGGGCTCGAGCATGTCTGAGCCCGATGTGCCGACTCAGGGCACTCTGCGACTGCGGTACGACGAGCAACGCGAGGGTGACCTCACCGCGCTCACAGCAGACCGTCACGGCAGCACGTCACCAGAGAGGTCAGTGCTGCATCAGCGGCCACGCCTCCTCACAGACGAGCCAGCATGCATCGTGGTGGCCGGGCACGTTGGCCACGCTGTGCTGCCGTTGTTGGGACAGCTGCGAACAGCCGAGGTAGGCACCTACGACGCAGCGCTGCTGTTGGCAGCATCCAGACAGCACGCGCCGCGCTGGTGCCGCTGCGGTGGGTGGAGTAGAAGTGTCCACACGTGTCTCGCCAAGACCTTCAGTTATCAAAGCACGTCGGGTCAACATGTATACCTCCCTTCCCCCAAACTCAAAGTTGACGGGTGTGGACGGCAGGCCAAAGGCCAGGGACATAATGTGGACACTGCAACTTTGAGTTCGGGAGGGGGGGTGCGAAGCAAGAGCATTTCGCAGTTGTGGTATCATGTTGCGTCGCCTTACCGTCATGGGTGTGGACACTTTTTGTCTGGGCTTCTTTGGCATTCACAAGACCAGTACACGGTCCACTCAACAGCCATGATTGGTAAGCGCTAGCAAGTAAAGACACTGTTGCAAACAGCTGGGCGAACTGCGTCCGCGCGCCTACGAAGCGAGGCGTGCGGGTGCTGTCCAGCCTCGCAGCAGCGCAAGCGCTGCAACGGCCAGCTACGCCCGCGGGCACTTATTCAGAAGAGAGTGCCGCAGGCTAGCGGCTAGGCAGTGTGCAGGATGCAGAGCCAGGATGCGTACTTGGCTGGCGGGCACGACTAGAGCCGCGGCGTGGGCGCACGCTGGGCACGATCTGTGCCGGGCCCCCAAGGGCAGTGCCATGTTCCTGGCTGTCAGGCAACATCGGCCGGCCGACCCCAGATTGGGTAAGGAGCCTGTCCGTAGACTCTCCCTGCCAGGGGTGGGGCCGTTGCGATCCGCGACCCTGGTCATGGCCAGCTCATTCCAAGTACGTGATGATCAGAGACGAGCTGGCAGGGCTCTCCGGGGTTCTCGACTCCTCGTTCGGACCGAGGCTCCTGAGCCATGAATGAACTGTCTAGGCCTCCCGGCAGCCCCGACGCGAATAGGAGGGCGCGTGCGCGCCCTCTGCCATTCTGACTCGCAGCGTGGACGCGGTTCACCATGTATTATGGTGTTGCGCCCTTCCACTCACTTTCTCCCATGTTACCATCACCGCCATGTCTATTAGCTTTATCAGCACCCGCGATTCCAGTCCCTCCTTTTCCTCCTCTCATCATGAGTTCCTTCATCCTAGCTATCTTCGTCCCCCCTTCTCCCCCTCCTCCTCCTCCTCCTCCTCCTCCTCCTCCTCCCCGACACACTGACAAGCACAAACACACACGCGCGCACACATCGACGCTTAGCCTGCCAACGATGCCAGGCTCCATGTGTCTTGCCGCTGCTGCAGGTCGCGCGCTATGAGCGTGAGGAGGAGGCGGCCCACGGGAGGAGCCTTCAGCCATTTTGGCTTAGGGCGCCCGCCTGCGGGCGCGCGCCCCATGGTGGCTGCTGGGGCGGATGCCGCGGTGGTCGAGCTGGAGCGGAGGGCCGAGCGCCTCGAAGAGGAGTACCGCCGCCTCCTCGGCGCCGGCGGCTCGCTCTCGGCGAGGGACACGGAGAGGCGCGAAGCGCGCATCGCGCTGCTCGAGCGGGAGTATTCCGCGCTGCTGCGGGAGATACCCCTCGCGGCCGGCCGCGACGGAACGGAACCCGCCGACCCTCGCGGTGGCATTCTCGCGGCCGGCCGCGACGAGGCGGAGCCTGCTGGCCTTGCCAGGGGCGCGCCGCGGCTGCGCGGCCAGCCCCGCCGGCCGCGCTCCGCAGCCGGGCCGCGGGGTGCGGTGGCGCGGGCGGCGGCGGCGCCGGCGGCCGACGCGCGCGAAGTCTGCAGCTCCGGAGCACAGGGGGCGCTGCAGGGTCGGCCGCCGGCGGCGACCAGCTTCGAGGAGGTGGAATCGTCATTGAGTTCCCTGCAGCAGGTGGTGCAGTCGTGCCGCGGCCAGGCCGGGGCGCAGGAGGCGCCGCTCGCGGCTCTCGCCGCCCTGGCAGAGCCCGAGGGCGTCATAGAGGCCCTGCTGCGGGCGGCGCCGCCCGCGCAGGCGGCCACTGCGCAGGAGGCGCCGCGCCCAGTGCCCACCCCAGCGGAAGCGCCCGTGGCCAGCACCGATCTGACCTCGACGGATCAGTCCCAGCGGGCCCCGGCGCCGGAGCACACCGAGCCACCGCAGCAGGGCGCCCTTCCGGCGGCACGCGATGCGCTGGAGGCAGAGGTCCTGCTGCTACGAGGACAGCTCGAGGATGTGGAGGCGTCGCTGCGCGCGGCCTCCAGTGAGGCCGCGTCTGCTGCGGCCGCCGCCGCGCGGCTGGAAGAGCGCCGCGGGCAGCAGGCCCGCGCCGGCGAGGATGCGGCCGCGAAGCTGCGGAAGGATGGGGGGCGGCCAAGCGGGGGGAGGTTCTTCGGGCGGTGTGTGTGTGTGTGTGTGTGTCCCGGCCGCGGCCAGGATGCCTCCCCAGATGTCACGGCGCCTCGCCTCGTGTCAGTGCGTCCCTTGCCCCTCCTGGGCCGCGCACGTGCCTCGGGCCATGATTTGCGCCCCCCTCCCCTCTTGGATCGGGGGCAGCGACAGGGGGGAATATTGGGGGGATGCATCGACCTCGAGTGGTTCATACATCGACGATGCCTCGTTGATATCGAGGCGATGTGCCGACGTTGCATGGACGATACGTGGGGGCGGCCTGCATCGACGATGCATCGACGATGCATGGGCGCTGTGTCGTTCCTGAGAGGTCGATGCGTTCCCCCCCTATGCTTAAGTCGGGCATGCCCCCCTGCAGGAGGAGTGTCCAAGAATAGTCAGAAAATAGTATTGGGACTATTTTTCGATTATTTTTGAACCATTTCCGAATCTTCTTAGGCCATGTTTCATTTTTCTTGTGAAATCCGCCTGCAGGATCCCGACCGAACCCTATCGTTGCCCCTTGCTGGGGCGCCCCCCCCCTAGTGTCAGGTCGGGCCTGTCCCCCTGCAGGGGGATTTTGGGCGAAAGTTAAAAAATGGCCCAACAACAATTCAAACGGATGCTCAAACATAGTTCAAACATCGTCTCCAGACTATGTTTTGACTATTTTTGAGCATTCCCCCTGTAGAGGGACAGGCTCGACTTAACCCCAGCTTAGCTGCCTCGATACGCACGTTTTGAGACGCAACGCGTACCGTGCTCAAGACGTCCGTGCCAATACGTTGCGTGTCGGCTCCACGTATTGGACCATTTTTTTTGCGAATCTATCGCGTCGGACCCACGTATTCAGCCTGCGTGTTGAGCTCCGTATCTATACGATACGTGCTGCGTGTTGCGCATCGGGGCAGCTGAGAGCCCCAGCGGTGGGCCCCCCGAGGAGAGTCAGCGCCTGGCCGCGAGCCTGCGCCAGGCCGCGGCCGAGGAGCGCCGCCTGGCCGCCGCGGCCGTCGCCGCGCCCGAGCGCGCGGAGGCGGCGCTCCGGCAGCTGCGCGAGGAGGCCCGCCGCCTCGAGGAGGATCGGGCCGGATGAAAGGGGGGGGATGTGTCGGGAGGAGGAGGAGGAGGAGGAGGAGGAGGAGGAGGAGGAGGAGGAGGAGGAGGAGGAGGAGGAGGAGAGGAGGAGGAGGAGGAGGAGGGGGAGGGGGAGGAGGAGGAGGAGGGAGGAGGAGGAGAGGAGGAGGAGGAGGAGGAGGAGGAGGGGGAGGGAGAGGAGGAGGAGGAGGAGGAGGAGGAGGAGGAGGAGGAGCCGGGAGTGGGCAGACCTCCTACCCTGGCACGTCGATTGAGGAATTGGCCGTTTTCGGTTCGCTTCGCGAGAGGGCGTCGCGGCCGTCATTTTTGCGGGTCCAGGTCCGTCGGCTTCGGTCCCAGGCCGTTTTCACTGAGGGGAGGTTTACTAAAGGGAGGTTTGTCCACCGCCGAATATGGAAATGGGGGGTTATGTTGCTCCCATCGTACGTAAGGGCCACATCCCAGAAACCATGTCGAGCACCCAGAGGAGTGTCGAAAGAGTGTCGAAAGAGTGTCGAAGCAGTGTCGGGCGAGGGTCTCCCAGGGCCCGGCACGTGGAAACGTTCGAGTTTCGGTACTTTTTTTGGCGCTCGAAATTCTTTCTGATAAGGCTAAGGTAGGTTGGGACATCATAAAGGGGGGGTTGCGAAATTTGCTGCATGCAGCTGGTTTCGGCCCCACCGAGGGGCCCACTCCTCGATGCATGGCCGCCTCCGGCGCCGGGAGGCGCCGGGGAAGATCAGCTGCGTGAGCCGATTCTCAGAGCCCCCCCTTTGCTATCCCCCCTTTCGCCCGGCCCGAGAGGAGAACGGCAGCCTCAGGTTCGGCAGCGAAGCATGGGAGCACTGCCCAGACAGGGTCGCGCCGTGCAGCAGAGTCAGGACGGGAGGCTTTGGCCAGTGCTCGGCCTCGGGGGGCCCTCGCCGGGCCTCGGGACCGTCAAGAACTGGCTCCGGAGGAAAAAACGGTCCTGGGGAAAGGGTCGGGACTTCCAGGGACCCCGTATTGAAAAACCAGGACGTCGCATGTTTGGGTTGGCGTCCTTGAAGTTCCGTCTCTGGAGTGCATCGGCGTGCGCCAGCGTCTGGCAAGCGATGCGGAGGCGCCGATTTAGCCTCGGTGAGCGTCCACTCGGCGTCGGTCAGCTTCGATGTGGCGTCGACCAGCGTCGACCAGCGTCGGACAGCGTCGGTTCGCAAGGGCCAGCCAGCACGATGGCACGGGAGGCTCCCATGAGCTGCCACCGATCTCAGGGCCTCCCTCGAGGCGGACCGGGCCCAGGTCGCGGCCCTGCGCGAGGAGTCCGCCGCCGAGGGCTCTGCGGCCCGCGGCGAGCGGCGGCCGCGCGGTGCCCGCGCAGGCGGCGCAACCGCCGCGCGGCAGGGCGCCGCTGGGCCAGGCTTGCCGGCCAGGCCGCCCTTGCGGCAAGGCAGCGTGCCAATGCTGCGCGCGGCGAGGGCGGTCGCCTGAGCGGCGCAGCTCGCTCCTCGCGCCCGCGCCGCGCCAAGGAAATTGCAGCCAGGGGCCAGCGACGGATGATGATGATGCTGATGCTGATGCTGATGATGATGATGCTGCTGCTGATGATGATGATGATGAAGATTAATATTAAGATTGAGATGATGATGATGATGATGATGATGATGATGATGATGATGATGATGGATGATGATGATGATGGATGATGATGATGATGATGATGATGATGATGATGATGATGATGATGATGATATGATGATGATGAGGATGATGATGATGATGATGATGATGAGGATGATGATGATGATGATGAAGAAGAAGAAGAAGAAGAGGATGATGAAGAGGATTGGAGAGGCCTGACGGCCGGTGCCGCCGACCCTGCTCGAAAGGGCTAGGAGTGGGGGGAGGAAGCGGAGGATGAGGAGGAGGGGAGGAGGAGGAGGAGGAGGAGGGAGGAGGAGGAGGAGGAGGAGGGAGGAGGAGGAGCAGGGGGAGGAGGAGGAGAGGAGGAGGAGGAGGAGGAGGAGGAGGAGGAGGAGGAAGGAGGAGGAGGAGGAGGAGGAAGAGGAGGAGGAGGAGGAGGAGGAGGAGTGTGCATCCTTTGTGTGCCCGCTCGAAGAAAGTGCGCCCCGGGAGTGTGATATTCTGACTTGGGACGTGCTCCCAGAAGAGGAAGAAGTGCATCTCGGGCGTGCCCGCTCGAGGAAAACGCGCCCTGGGGGGTGGTATTTTGACTCGGGGCCCGCTCCCGGGACGCCTCTGGGGAGGAGGAGGAGGAGGAGGAGGAGGAGGAGGAGGAGGAGGAGGAGGAGGGAGGAGGAGGAGGAGGAGGAGGAGGAGGAGAAGGGAGAGGAGCAGGAGGAGGAGGAGGAGGAGGAGGAGGAGGAGGAGGACCAGGAGGAGGAGGAAGTGCATCCCGTGCGTGCCCGCTCGAGGAAAGTGCGCCCCGGCGGGCGTCGTATCTGCCCGGCCCCCCCCCCCCCTCCCCCCCCCCTGCCCCCCCCCCTGCGGGGAAGGGATCAAATGGAAGGGGCTTCCCTGCGACTCCACTACGACGTCGTTTAATTTCGCTGTGGATAGCGCGCTTGAGGAGGAGAGCCCTGGGAAGGGGAGAACGGAGACGACGGAGACGACGAGTCGAACGGAGAAGCCCCTCACACACGCCGACAGGGTCGGCGGATTAAAATGATGATGATGATGCTGATATTGATAATAAGGCTGATGCTGATGCTGGTGATGATGATGCTGATGCTGATTTTGAGGATGAGGATGATGATGATGCTGATGTTGATGCTGATGATGCTGCTGATAATGCTGATGATGATGCTGCTGATGATGATGACGATGAGCATGCTGCTGCTGATGGTGATGTTGATGATGATGATGCTGATGATGATGTTGATGCTGGTGATGATGATGCGCATGATGACGCTAATGTTGATCGTAAGGCTGATGCTGATGATGATGCTGATGATGATGCTGATGCTGATGCTGGTGATGATGAGGATAATGATGAGGATGCTCATGCTGATGCTGATGATGAGGATGATGATGAGGACGATGATGATGCTGATGATATTGATGATGATGCTGATGATGATGCTGATGATGATGCTGATGATGATGCTGATGATCATGCTGATGATGATGCTGATGATGACGATAATTCTTATGCCGATCATAAGGCTGATGCTGATGCTGATGCTGGTGATGATGATGATGCTGATTCTGATGCTGATGCTGCTGATGATTATGCTGCTGATGATGCTGTTGATGATGATGATGATGATGATGATGATGATGATGATGATGACGATTCTGATGCTGATGAAGATGCTGATGATGATGACGCTAATGTTGATAATCAGGCGGATAATGATGCCGCTGCTGATGATGATGAGGATGAGGACGATGATGATGCTGATGATGATGATGAAGATTAAGATGACGCTGATGATGATGATGATGATGATGATGATGATGATGAATATTAAGATGATGATGATGCTGATATTGAAAATACAGGGCTCATGCTGATGCTGATGCTGGTGACGATGATGATGATGCTGGTGATGATGATAATGAGGGTGATGATGATACTGATGATGATGCTGATGATGCTGCTGATGGTGATGCTGATGATGCTGCTGATGATGATGCTGATGATGATGAGCATGCTGATGCTGATGGTGATGTTGATGCTGATGATGATGCTGATGCTGATGCTGATGATGATGGACATGATGACTCTACTGTTGGTAGTAAGGCTGATGCTGATGCTGATGCAGGTGATGATGATGATGCTGATGATTATGCTGCTGATGATGCTGATGATTATGCTGCTGATGATGCTGTTGATGATGATGATGCTGATGCTGATGATGAGGATGAGGATGATGATGATGCTGATGTTGATGCTGATGATGCTGCTGATAATGCTGATGATGATGCTGCTGATGATGATGCTGATGATGATGAGCATGCTGATGCTGATGGTGATGTTGATGATGATGATGCTGATGATGATGTTGATGCTGGTGATGATGATGCGCATGATGACGCTAATGTTGGTCGTAAGGCTGATGCTGATGCTGATGCTGATGATGATGCTGATGCTGATGCTGGTGATGATGAGGATAATGATGATGATGCTCATGCTGATGCTGATCATGAGGATGATCATGAGGACGATGATGATGCTGATGATGATGATGCTGATGATGATGCTGATGATGATGCTGCTGATGATGCTGATGATGATGCTGATGATGATGCTGATGATCATGCTGATGATGATGCTGATGATGACGATAATTCTTATGCCGATCATAAGGCTGATGCTGATGCTGATGCTGGTGATGATGATGATGCTGATTCTGATGCTGATGCTGCTGATGATGCTGTTGATGATACAGATGATGATGATGATGATGATGCTGATGATGATGATGATGATGATGATGATGATGATGATGACGATTCTGATGCTGATGCTGCTGCTGATGATGATGACGCTAATGTTGATAATCAGGCGGATAATGATGCTGCTGCTGATGATGATGAGGATGAGGACGATGATGATGCTGATGATGATGATGATGAAGATTAAGATGACGCTGATGATGATGATGATGATGATGATGATGAATATTACGATGATGATGCTGATGATGATGATGATGATGATGATGAGGATGATGATGCTGATGGTGATGATGCTGATATTGAAAATACAGGGCTGATGCTGATGCTGATGCTGGTGACGATGATGATGATGATGATGATGTTGGTGATGATGATGATGAGGGTGATGATGATACTGATGATGATGCTGATGATGCTGCTGATGGTGATGCTGATGATGATGCTGCTGATGATGATGCTGATGATGATGAGCATGCTGATGCTGATGGTGATGTTGATGCTGATGATGATGCTGATGCTGATGCTGATGATGATGAGCATGATGACTCTAATGTTGATAGTAAGGCTGATGCTGATGCTGATGCAGGTGATGATGATGATGATGATGCTGATGCTGATGATGATGCTGATGATGATGGTGATGCTGATGATGCCGCTTATGCTGATGCTGATGATGATGATGATGAGGATGATGATGAGGACGATGATGATGCTGATGCTGATGCTAATGATGCTGATGATGATGCTGATGATGCTGATGATGATGCTGATGATGCTGATGATGATGATCATACTTATGTCGATCAGAAGGCTGCTGATGCTGCTGCTTGTGATGATGATGCTGACGCTGATGCTGCTACTGCTGCTGATGATGCTGCTGATGCTGATGATGCTGTTGATGATGATGATGATGATGATGATGATGATGATGATGATGATGATGCGGATGCTGATGCTGATGATGATGATGATGACGCTAATGTTGATAATCAGGCGGATAATGATGCTGCTGCTGATCATGATGATGAGGATGATGACGGTGATGATGCTGCAGCTGATGATGCTGCTGATGATGATGATGGGGATTAAGCTGATGATGATGCTGATGATGCTGATGATGATGATGATGTTGATATTGATAATAAGGCTGATGATGATGCTGATGCTGGTGACGATGATGATGCTGATACTGCTGATGATGATGATGAGGATGATGATGCTGATGATGATGATGCTGCTGATGATGATGCTGATGATGATGAGCATGCTAATGCTGATGGTGATATTGATGCTGATGATGATGCTGCTGATGGTGCTGATGCTGATGATGATGAGCATGATGACGCTAATGTTGATAGTATGGCTGATGCTGATGCTGATGCAGGTGATGATGATGATGATGATGCTGATGCTGATGGTGATGCTGATGCTGGTGATGATGAGGAAGATGATAATGCCCATGCTGATGCTGATGATGATGAGGATGATGATGAGGACGATGATGATGCTGATGATGATGCTGATGATGATGCTGATGATGATGTTGATGATGATGCTGATGATGATGATAATACTTATGTCGATAATAATGCTGATGCTCATGCTGATGCTGTTGATGATGATGATGATGATGCTGATGCTGATGCTGCTGCTGATGATGATGATGCTGATGATGCTGTTGATGATGATGACGATGCTGATGCTGATGCTGATGTTGATGATGATGATGATGATAGTGACGCTAATTTTGATAATCAGGTGGATAATGATGCTGCTGCTGATTATGATAATGATGATGAGGATGAGGACGATGATGATGCTGATGATGATGATGAAGGTTAAGATGATGATGATGATGAAGAATATTCAGATGATGATGATGCTGATATCGATAATAAGGCTGATGCTGATGCTGATGCTGGTGATGATGATGCTGATGCTGATGCTGATGATGATGAGGATAATGATCATGGTGATCATGATGCTGATGATGCTGCTGATGATGGTGATAATGCTGATGATGATGCTGCTGATGATGATGATGCTGATGATGATGATGACGATGATGGTGATGATGATGAGCATGCTGATGCTGATGGTGATGTTGATGCTGCTGATGATGATGATGATG